TTTTTTTTTTTTTAAAGATTTATTTATTTATTATGTATACAGCATATGTGACTGCAGGCCAGAAGAGGGCACTAGATCTCATTACAGATGGTTGTGAGCCACCATGTGGTACCTGGGAATTGAACTCAGGACCTCTGGAAGAGCAGTCAGTGCTCTTAACCTCTGAGCCATCTCTCCAGCCCCCGGGTCTCTGATTCTTGTGCCTGCTCTTTTCCTTCTGTTAGTTTGCCTTCTCCAACATAGATATGATGATATTTATATTTTATTTTATTTTGTCATGCTTGGTTGTTATTACCTAGAAGCCTGTCTTTCTAATGAGAGCAGAAAGGGAGTGGATCCAGATGGGAAAGGAGGATGCAAGGAGTAGAGGGAGGGGAAACTATATTCAGGTTATACTATATGAGAAAATAATGTATGTTTAATAAAAGGGGGAGGAAACAAAAATAAAGCCTCGCCCTGAAGATGGTCATCTTAGCACTCTGTCCCGCATCTATTTCACTCCAGGGAATAGCATACATCTTGATACATCATGATCAAGGCTGTATCTTGCCTGCTAATGAGAGCTACTTGCCTTTGGAGCTCTTTAGACAGGAAGACATCATAAGTCCCCACACTGGATCTTTCCTTGTGTTAGGGTTACACACGTATTTAAAGGGAATGTATTTGAATGGCTTACAGGCTATGGTCCAGCTAGTTCCACAACAGTCATCTACCAACGGAAAGTCCAGGAGTTCTAGCTTAACAAAAACCCTAGACAGAGCTGGGGTGCCGGCTCTGTTGGCAAAGTGGTTGTCTTGCAAGCATGAGGACCTGGGTGCAATTCCCCAGAACCCGTCTTTTAAAAGCCAGCTAGTGTTCTGCACTAAGTCCTAGTGCAAGGGCTGCAGCGGCGGGGAAGGTAGCCGGGGCCTGCTGACCAGCCAGCCTGGCCCCCGGACCAGCTTCAGGTCGGTGAGAGAGACCTTGCCTCAAAACAAAACAAAACAAAACAAAACAAAAACGAGGGCTAACACCCGATAGATGCTTACCAGAGGTCAACCAAAGAACACATAACTCATGCCAGGGTGGTATGCAGATGAAGTTCCCTGTGGAGGCGAATCAAAGAGGAGTTTATGAAAAGCCCATTAGGTTCGCATGAAAAACTGGCATTCTAGTAAGAATAGACTGTCTGGAGAGGACCACAAACAGCACCACCCAGCAGATTTTGTCCTAACTTCACCCTCCTCCTGGAGGCTCTGAGAGCAAGGGGGTGAGGGAGGGGTGGAGGAGGAAGGAGAGGGACAGGAGAGCTTGATTCCTCCCCAGCCTCAGATTGTGACACCACCGCTCATGCCATGGAAAGGGAGAAGGAGCTCTAAGTATAAAAGTGAAGTTTGTAATTAGGTCAGACGAACTGGAAAGAGGAAATCAGAAAGGACGGGAGTCCTCTCTGTGCTTTCTGGCTGATCAAGGGATTTCAGGTCTATAACCTGAAAACCTATAACAACAGTGAGGGCTCTCCATCTTACTTTAATCTTTATTATAAGCCCTGATTCCTCCAGGGTTTCAGATCTGTAGGTCCAAAGGATACCGCCCTCAAAAGGGCAGGCCCACTGACTGTCCAAAATTCAATCTAGGCTCAGCTCAACCTGGACTACAGGAGGGTTTCCAGAGGTTAGACCAAAGCCAGCACTCCTTGAGAACTTAGGAAGTCAGTTCCCATCTACCAAAAGGAGTCATTTCCCTTACCTCTGGTAGAAGGGACCTATGGCTCTCCAATTAACATATACCTATGGTGCCTGTCAGCATTTCAAAGTCCACACACACTGGCACACTAGCCCTTCTCATGCCTTCTTGATCCAAAACTCCTGGGCTTCCCTCCCCCCAGCTACTCGTCCTTCTTATGCCTGGCTGTGTCTCCTTATAATCTCCTGCTCCTGCCGTTCCCCCTGTGTTTTCTCTACTCTCTATTCCCTGCTATCCTCCCCTCTCTTGCAGACAGCCCCAGCCATGCCCACTCTGCTAGCCGTGTGCAGTCTACTTCTCTCTCTGTCGCTCTGGACTCTTTCAGATGCCTCCGGATATTTCCTGTCTCTTACGTACAATAAAACCTTCCCCTTAATTATACCATGGGGTAGTCATGTTGTCAGTTTATACTTTCACCATAGTGCACACACAAATATGTACTCTCAGAGACGCACACTCAAAAAGAAATTGGTGGGGAGCAGAGATGTAGGAGGACTTTCCTGTCTAGACTGCCAATCAGCTCTGTCCCACCAGCTGCTCCCCAAATAACCACACAGAGACTTATTATTAATTATAAATGCTTGGCCCATAGCTTAGGTTTGTCTCCAGCCAGATCTTACAACTTACATTAATCCATTTCTATTCATCTATGTGCTGCCCCGAAGCTCGTTTGCCTCCTCTGTGAACTTCCCATGTTGTTTCTCCCGGGTCTAGCTCGAGACTCCCCCATCTCTGCCCTCCTTCTTCCTAGCATACCCTCTGCCCTGAAAATCCTGCCTAGCTATCGACCGATCAGCTTTTTATTAGCAACGAAAGCAACACATCTTCACAGTGTAAGGGGTTATTCCACAGAACAGAGAAGTAAGTCAAAGGAAAGAAGTTAAGTGGAGGGGAAACTTATTCATACTCCAGAGTATATTCCTTCTGTGAAATGGGTACACCAAGGTTTTCATATGCACTCACTCCGGAAGCTGAATCTGCCACATGGAAGCAGAAT